AAAAAACTGTTATCAAATGTTTCTAAGGTAAGCCTGAACTAATTTTATTCTTAATTGGTATGAACATCACAGGCACTACATCTCACATGGTAGGTTCTTGGGCATTTTTCTAACACAGTTGACCAAAATTGTTTAAATCTGTGTCATATTCATTTTCTGTAAACTGCTTTAATTTTCGTGAGAGAGACCATATTTCATAAATTTTGAAAGTTAGTGAAAAACATGGAGTCATGGAGATTTTTTCTAAATTATGAAGTCCTCTTGGTGACAATTAAACTGATTTCAGCAATTTTTCTAATCTTACTCTTAAATATATTGCTTGTTTGTAAAAGCACACAACACAAGAAATTCAGGGCAACTATATTTAATACACTAAAGCACTAAATTACAAAGATACGATACTGATCAAAAACTATACATGATAAAAAAAAAAAAAAATACTAAGTTAGTTCAGGAAGTCTCCATGCTCAGAATGAAAGTTTCCCTATCAAAGGAGGTCCTGTATCATGTCACTGTTCTGCATCACTTAAGCATACTGTTGTAAATATCCAAATTCATTCATGTAACTTTCATCAATTTTCGATAATCACACGTAATCACAACGTCACAGACACATGTCAGCATATATGTACATGTATAATAGCAGATAATGGAGAATTGTTGTGTTTATAGTGTGAATCTAAAAATAACTCAAACACTGGGATGTGTTCTATATTCAGAAATTTTGTTAGCTAATACTGGTAGATGCTACATCATACCATTACAGTGTGGGACACATTAGCTTGGTGGATATTTTATGACTATAATCATTGCTTGTGGTTGTATGATAACTTTATACTTATGAATTTCATGAAATCATCATATTTGTATAGAAAATTTAGTAAAGCAGGTAAGTGGTGATTTAACTGTGTGTACAAGACCAGCATATATCTACTGATGACATGGTGTCAGTGAGGTCCACTATATAATGACACATTAGACTGGGTCACTGTGTTATGGGGACAACGTATACTGTAAACCATTTATTTTCACTCGCATTTAATTTCACTATTTTGACGCTTTGACACTGGGTTTTAATTTCCCAAACTTGGCGGGAAATCAAAGAGTTCTATTGTCATTTTATACATTGTATGTTCACATAGATTTAATTTGCAAATTTTATTTATCTGTGGAAATAATTAAAAACTAGTGAATAATAAATGTGTCTACAGTATTACTGATGATATGGTGTCAACAGAGTACAATGATCTACTGTTTATTTTGTTTCTTGCAGACCATAGAATTGGTGCTATGGTTTTGTCTACAGGTCCACCTCCTGGACCACCTCCAAATCTGAACCAAGCTGCCACTGTACCGTGGCTTGTTGCTGATAGATATGCCAACATTGTTGGGGATATTGAGGTAGGTTGACAAGTGAATTTATTAGATAGGTGCTATGTAACAAAGAACAATATTAGGATGCGTCCAGCATCCAGGAATGACATAGGTGCCTATGGTTACTCTTTCTGTTTGTGTTATGAAAACAGTAATACATTTTAGTGTATTAACGATTTTGAAGGTTAGTTTCCTCATCCAAGATTCAGTGCAAATATTTTCACATTTTGTAAAATTATCACTAAATTTCATCCTCTGGACCATACAGATATTTTCAGATATTGCTTTTAGTTTTTGATCAAAATGTTTGTCAATTTATATCAACATTTCATATGGGAAGGAACAGACTTCACATAATCATTTTGTAGATGGTGCCAAAAGTTGAAAATGGAGCTCAAGGAAGATGAATGCTGAATATTTGAGTTACGTTAAAGCATTTTCTCACTGAGCAACAAGAAATTTTGATCTATTAATCCTGAACCCATATTGCAATATTTTTTTGTGGATTTTGTAATGTATCATAGATCTTATAATGGTACTCTGAGATAATTCTTAAAGTTGTATTATGTGAAATTGTAGAAGATTGCATCTGATTGTTTGAATTAAATGTGCTTTTGAAATAGTGTTCCAGTATTCCTGAACTTCATGAAGATTCTTGATTATGGTGGACTGTGATAATTTCAAACAAGGATGAATCCAAAGAAAGCATCAGATATTCCTATAATTTGTGCATATTCACACCATTAAATTGTTCAAAGACTCTACTTTATATGCATTAATTATTCACATGATTTTAATTTGGCTATTTTCATTAACAACTGAAATTGGATAAATCGAATCCATGTGAACCTGTAAAATAAAAATAGAATTCAAATTTGTGAATTTAAAACCCAGTGAAATTGCTCAAAACATAAAAATATTGAAATTAAATGTTAGTAAAAATAAATGGTTTTACAGGGTACAATTTGATCTCAAGAGAGCAACTTCAAACATTTGTTCATGTCCTGAAATGTTAATTTGTCAAAATATCCCCAAAATTTGACAATATTGTACTGATATTGTTCAACAGGATAATGAACGTCATACATATGAGTGGCAACGATGTTTACAGAGTTGTTACGATAACGTTAAAAAGGCTAATGATATATTTAACAGTATAAGTTGCTCGTCTGTTTGTCTACAAGTAACCAAGTCTGAAGAAGGTTCCAATTACTTACAAGGTATGGTTTATTATGTTACCTGAATCGCTAAAAATATTATTTTCAACTGTTTGGTCTTTTATAATTTCATCTTTACTTGTGATTTGTTTGAAAATGTCATTTATGTGACACCTTGCAGCCATTTCAGATTTTGGTAGTGTGCCCTCTAGTGGCATATTGATTATTTCAATGATTTTGGGTGATTGTGGTCACATTTTCAATACTGTAAAATGCTTTATTTTAGCTAGAATTAATTTTTGTTGAAAAGACTTTTTGTATGTAATTTAATTTCACTGATTTTTGATGAGCTGAATATAAAATACAGGTAAAAATATATTCACTAGATTATTTTTACTAAATCATCCCCTCAGTGAAAACTGCAAAAATAAATTTAAAGCAAATATTAAGTACTTTACAATAAGCAAAGGATATGTTGGGTTTTTTTTGAATGAAAATTTTGTTGTGCATTGAATCTTGGCATATTAAGATTTTCAAAAAAATTTGGTTGGGAAAAGAAAATGGGTTTGTGTACATGGGTCTGTTGAATGTGTTGTTAATGTAGTATGGACATATGCACACTGTCCATGACTTCTTTACCGAATTTGTTTTCCTATTTTTATGGGGGGGGGGGGGCTATATGAAATATATTTAATTTTTCAGCAAACAATACCAATTTGAAAACAATCCTTATAAATATGTGCAACAGCCGTTTTCAAAACCCATGGATGAATTATGATACTTCCTATTTGAAATGCATAAAGTGTTTTTAAATCATTGTATAAAATTGAATTTAATTGAAACTGAATTGTTATGCGATTGTTGTTTGATCACAATTGTTAACTAAAAGTACTCATTATTCCTACTTTGGATCTCACCTTTAACAAAAGATCACAATGCTATTTGTTCA